TTAAAATTTCTTACATAAATACTCGAGCAACAACTCCAAAACCACAACTGTCACACTCATACATTTAACAACGATTAGTTTGGTCCTCTGACCTCGTTGAGCTGGGTGGATGCGAGGGACGGTCGCACAGCGAGATAGTCTGCGTCGTTGTCTGGACTGCAAGGAGTGCGAATGTTTTGTCGAGGCGAACGCGTTGTATGTACCAGGGGGCTGATTCACGCCGCGCACTTCTGTAGGTATACTACCGCAAGCACGAGTGCGGGCGGGCTTGCTTATCGCCCCTGTCACGGCGCCTTACGAGCCGAGCGAGTAGGCAACCCATCCGCAGTCGTGCATGCGGTACAGCATAACTAAAGAAGTGAGCGGCGTGAATCAGCCACCTGGTATGTACATTCAGGGAACTGGGAAACCTAGTGCCGCTCACCTTAGGTTAACTGCAGTGTCCAGGAACTCGTACGGCACATCGTCCTGGTCGTCGTCTTCCTGGCAAGAGTTGTTGTCTGGGGTGTCGCTTTCGGGGCCCTCCTCGTCCTGGTCGCTATCCTCAGGAAGGTCCTCTGGGAGGCTGTCCTCCAAATGGGCGGCAATCACTCGGCTCTTGAGCGCGCTGACGAGGTCCTCACTCCGGAGGGAGCGCGCCCCCGAGCAGTCCACGCCGACGTCCTGGGCGAAGGACACCTGTGGCACGGGGATGTTAGCCCCTCGGAGACCATAAGGGTCCACTTTCAAGAGCTGTGCGTACCTGGTGTCGCACCCTATGAACCTTCTCTTCGTCAGTGAGGTTGGCGTCGCTGGCGCGGCGCAAGCTCGAGGCGAGGCCCCGCGACGGGCTCGACGAGGCCGTGCTGACGGACAGGTCGACGCTGGTGCACGTGCGGTTCAGATGGATGAGCTCCATCTTGTGACCGAGGCCGGACACAAGCGCGTCCGCGTCAGATGCCGGGCGTAGTTCTGGGTGGTAGCTCTTCTTCCTCTCCAGGGCTGTCCCGGGAGGCGTGTGGGCGTCCCCGCGGGTACGCGGGCAACGACTGGCGGCGACCGACGACGCCGGGACCTTCTTGTCGTGGTCACCAAGGTCTCCGACGGCCGGAGACAGTCGCGGCTTCGCTTGGACCGTGGCATCATCGCCCATGGCGCTCCCGCGTAACCTCAACCTGCCGCTTTGCGTTGGCCTTCCCCCGGGGGAAGTGCGCCCACACCAAGGAACTCCCAGCTCAGGTCTTGTGTCAAAGAGGACGGCAAACGCGGCACACGCTAAGCCTCTGACCTGGGACTGATGCGTAGTCTGTTTCGTCACTTCGAATTTTGTTTTACTTCCTCTTAGTGTTCGAGCAAAACAATCGAATCAGAGCCCGCCGCCACGGGTTGCATGATAATGCATTGTAGAGAGCGCAAATGGCGACTCGGAAGTCTGGCTGACGGACTTCCCTACATCCTACGACGAGTCAATGTCTGCGACCATCTCCTCGAAGGTTCCGGAACATTGTCGAATTTCAATCTACATAGGCTTTTCTCTCTAGGCCTGTCTTCTCCCCCACCCCTCTTTTGCCGTCTCTCTGCGTCGCGTATCCGCCCAGGTATCCGTACTTCCGTCCTTCTTCCTCCACCTCTCTACCTCCTCTCTCTGTCTCTCCGCTCCTCCCCCCCTTTTCTCTCTCTCTGTCCCTCAAAGCGGAACGCTATCTTTCTTTGTCACTCCCCTGCGCGATATCTTTGTCTCACTCTCTCTTCCTCTGTCTGTAGGCCTCTCTCTCTCACACACGTGTACACTCACTCTGAAAAATGAGGGAAGCAGTAGCCGGCTTATAAGTGCTCTCAGCAAACGTTACAGAAGGAGAGTTCATTTCGGAAAGTAAGTGCTTAACTATTCGTGAAGCTTAAGGCTCCCATATCATGTGCGTACGTGAGCTGTCCTATTTGTAATGTCAGTGAAAAATGTATTAGTTGAGACTGTACTCTACGACGCCAGACGCCTCGCCTCGGAGCCCTCGGAGCTTCGACGGAACTACTTTCGCGACGATGCTGCTACCTACGGCGAGGTCTGTAAACTCAAATTCCGAGCAACCTACTGTTTCCGACGCGGTGGCCTCAAAACCCGAGAGTAGAACGACACACTTTTACATCTCCTAATTTTTGGTCGCTGGACAACATTCATACCGTCGCACAGACCGCACTATGCTGTTCTCGCTCCATCTACTAGATGTGTCTATTTTCAAAGATGACTGTAACAAAACTGTTCTTCCCTCCACAGTCCACCTGAAATTCTAGACACTTTCTCTTAGACCAGGAGTTGTGAAAGGTGCGACACACTTATAATTTTCTTGCAATTTTCTAATATTTGTTATTGTCAAAGAGGGTTGTATTTTTTTAAAAATACGGGATACACAACTTCGGAGTTTACCCAATAGCCGGTTTTGTTGGGTCCAGGGAAGTTTTCTCGTTAAACTTTATATACCCGAAAGTAATAAGGGGCATCGGCGAGAGCCGCAGTCTAATCTTGAATTGGGTTTTTCCAATAAATTCAATCCTTTAAACCACCCGCTACTCTGCTACTGCCTTCCTTTTCCTGTAAATCGATAGCGAACAAAAAAGTAGTTCCTTTAAAGTAATGAATAAGAATGAGGTTGTTTACTCTATCCCTTATCTTGAAAGAATGTTCCTGAGCGTGTTCTAGATCGCATTGAAGCAGAATTCTGAATTTCAGCAAAGCATCATCAATTCCTATCTGGTTTCGCACTGGCTTCTCCTAACATTTTTACCTCACGTTCAATTTTTTTTCTAATCTGTGCCCATTTCCCGCGGAGCCGCGGGGCGGAGGGAGCGGAGTGCACTTACTTGTGCGCATGCGCAGTGAAGTCGATACGCTCTCGAGTGTGATGATGCGATCGGGGCTGTGCGGGTACAGTTCGCGGTGAATCTTTACTAAATACACTGTTGTTAAGATATAATTTATCCTCAGGCGTAAGTTTAGAGGTTGAGTAAAGCATTGACGCGTTAAAAATGGCTTCAGACGAAGAAGTGGAGGATTCCTTTGCCGGTAAGTTGACCTAACCGCGGTGTGTTTGTTTTCCTCTAGCATCCTGAGGCGAGCGGGAGGAGATGGGATCATGTGGTTAGGTCTACAAAACAAGGGAAATTTTCTAATTATTTGTATCGGCTTCGAACGCATAGGGTGTGATTTAGCAACCGCAACGCATGTCAGTCATTTTGCTGCAGTTTCCGCTCGTTTAGCATTCATAAGTCTATGTTTGAATGTGAAAGAGAGAGAGAGAGAGGATAGTTGGGGGGGACGATTATTTTTCTGTGACAGCGCGGGTATCCCGGTCCCTTAAAACAAAATGGAGGCCATGAAACAAAGAAACAGGCCCGATGTTCACAGACTCTAGACACTCATACATTGTCCATTCGAAGATTAGTCCATTTTAAAACACATTTTTCTGGCCAAAACTTGACTTCCTCCTCCTTTTCTATTCTTGGGCTTATCTGGAATGCTGGCCTCCAGCTGATGGTCGGCAACCTCTAATGAAGGTCCATTCTGTAGGTTAAGCATGTTATTTCTTTTGATTTTTGTAAATAAACGTTAAAGAGCAGATTCGTTCTTTACCATGGACTTTGGTGTGCATTCCTTCACTGATGTTTTGTTGTCAAACAATTGGAGAAATGCCGGTTGGTTGTGACACCGGACGACGATGTGAGAGAGAGGGCTTGGGCGAGGGAGAGAGACGCTCGGCGACGACGGCTTAACCTCACTTCATTGAATGGCCTTATTCACATATTTTATTACTAGTTTCGCGTTTTCGCGTAAAAAAAATTAGACTAGGTAATTTCCCATTTTTTCCAATACATCTAGTCACTCTTCCCATTCAAAAATATTGTTGTTAGTTTTTCTTGAAATATGCTGCTGATGATAGTTACATGCAGATATTTTAGCAAATTTTTAGTCAAGCGCTTTTTCTGGCTGCATCTCTAACTGCTCAAACAACTTGTCAAAAAACAAATTTATTAATAA